GGCAGCGTCTGGCCTGGAGAACGGACAGCTTCCTGGGAAGAGGGGTGGAAAGGAACCATGAGCCCTATCTTCAGCACTTGAAACGCTGCTATGTTACAGAAAAATTAACTCTCACTTAGTTCATCCCTTAAGGCAGAAATAGTACCAACAGGTAAAGGTGACCGGGAGACATCCTTGGGCTCACGGAATCATAACAATTGGAATTGCAGCAGCTGCCGTCCACTGCTTCTCTGCTGTGTGCCAGTATCTTCACGTATTAGCTGGTTTAATCCCTTTAACCAACTTCTGAATTAGTTGAACAGAAGACTCTTACCATGACCAAAGCTGACCCTCGAACAACAGTGATGACATCTCTTCTGGGTTGCTCTGAAAGGCATCTAACCCTACATTGGTATATCTTGCTAATTTTAGGAATCTGGTAACTAGGCCCTGCAGTCTTCAACAGCCCTGGCACCAGATGGCGCTGCCTCAAAAACGCAGACCCGTGGCATTTCTGGGCCTAGAAAAAAGAGGCACCGGTGAAGTGGTACAGGGGCCTCAGGAGGAGTTAGGCCTCCGGAGACGGTGGCTGGTATGCCTGTGGCCACCCCCATGCACTCACCCAGAGCCACCAGATGGGCCAGGCATCCAGCAAAGGCTTGGGGGACCTCACTGGCATCAGCCACATCCTGGCAGGACTGACGTGGCGAAGCAATGCCTTCCACTGCTGAGGAAGGACGCAGACGTGGAGCCCTCCCTTGGACCAGAAAACCAGTGCTCACCGCAAAGCCCCAAGTCCTGAAGCAGACAGCGAAAACCATGAAGCTCTTATATTGAGAAGGGCAACCTTGCACTTGAAAAAGTTCACTTAGACAGATCCTGAGGTGCTAATCCATTTCCTGCGACAGGTGAAGGCCCAGCTATCCCCGGACCTGGAGGTGAGGAGGGAGGCGGAATCTCCTTTCAGAGCGGCACACTGAAGAACGCAGGGGAACACAGCCTGCAGAGTCCAAACAGGGAAACCCTACCGGATAAACCACCAGGTTCCTTCCACAACAACAACCCAGAAACTGCCAGGAAAGAAACCAAGATGAAAGAGGAGAAGGAGGACCACCTAGAGATTATAAGACTTCAAAGATGGAGCAACCCACTGCAATGCATGGACCCGAGTGGGATCCTGATCGAGACAAACAAAATTAGGAGATAATTAGGGAAATGTGAACACTGACCAGCTATCCGACCATACTAAAGAAATCGTTTTACGTGTGACAGTGATATTGCGGTTACGTTTTTCAAGAGTCCTTATCTTTAGAGACATGTACAGAAATATTTACAAATGAAAAGCTATGATGCCTGGGTTTTCTCCTAAACAGCCCAGTGTAAAGCTGGGCAGCAGGGGGCTGTGGATGAATTGAGACTGGCCATAAGTCGGCCCTGGTGATGGGGGTTCCTTCTATGTGTAAATTTCTCTGGAATGAAAAAGCGGAGATAAAGAAAAGAATACCTGGACTTCATGGACCTCCACGGTGGGCCTGTTGGAGGGATCTGATGGGGAGAAGCTGACATTTCCATCCAGTAGAGCATTTTATTACTTTCAGATTGTTTTTCTTTCCTAGGACCGAGGCCTAGGTTAAGGAAGGTCTGAAGATGCCAGTTTACCTTCGGACCCCCGCAGAAGCACTGGAGATAGTCTAGTTGTGCTTCCAGACCAGTTCAGCCATCCTTCCTCACACAAGCATCCTTCCTCCTGGCCCCAGGCTCCCCTGTCTCCAGCCACTGCCCTGGGACACCCCCTTTGGATGGAAGGACATCGGCAGGAATGTACTACCTCCTCCCCATGGCAGTGCTCTCTGACCCTGCTCTGCCTCAACATCCCCTCCTAAATGGAACAGACACATAGCGACATTCCTTCCCAGCAGGAAGGCCACCCTCATGAAGGGTGCAAAACACTCTGGGTGGCCTTTTAGGACCGCGTATTCTGGGAGTGGAGCTCCTGACGTCACACACACACACACACACACACACACACACACACACACACGTCCTTTAGTCCCTCTCAACCATGCCACCTCCTAAAGCTTCATGTGGGACAAAAAAAAGCACCAAGGGCCATGGATGACAGATGACAATGGTGCCTGGAGGCGAAGCCATGCCCCCATGCTTACCATCATGTCAAGTTTGCTTGTCATCAAACCTGGCACCACCAGCTCAGCCCAGATCAGGTTCTTCAGCCCAGTTTGAAAGGAAGGAAAGCATTTCTTTTAGAATCCGACCTACCTCTTGTCTGAGCCCTTGCCAGCCCAGCCCCCAACCCCAGTTTATACTGGAAGGAAGGAACAAGTGGCACCCTACTGAGTATGTCTTTGCGTGGACATGGAGAAGGAACGTCGTGCTATTGGACTGACACTGTTTGGGGGCTCAGCCAGGAGAAGACATTTTCTAGCAAACTGGAGTGGCTTAGAGAGAAAGCCATGCCCACTCCATGCCATCTCGAGGCCACTTACCCAAGGGCCACTGGTAGCCCATGCCTCACCAACTCACCCCCACTCCTTCAGTAAGGCACCCCTGAATTAAAGCAATTTCAGCAACAAAAATCCTACCTTCACTGAAACTATCTGGAGTCCAGGGACTTGAATTATAGACAAATTATAAGAAAACATCCTCAGTTCTCCACTCAGCTTTTGTCAAGGAACTCGGCCTCAGCTGGGACAGAGGTGGCCATGGCTGCATGCAATGGGGCATGAATTTACTCATATTCCTGGGCAAATCATCTCATTATGGCTGGGGGGCAAGTGGGGGCGCCTCCCTTCTCCTGACACCTGCCTGGTCAGTCCAGGACCCAGGTGGCTGGTCAGGAAATGGTCTCCATCACACATACTTCATCCTACCTCAGCTCCACGCTGGCAGCAGTCAAAACTTTGGCCTAAAATAAGAGAAGCCAGGGAAACAGCTCAGCTACAGGGATCCAGCTACAGAGCAAGGTAGGGGGAAGCCGGCTCAAAAGGAAGATGAGTATTAATTTCATCTTAGAGGCCCTAGTGCCAAAATCGGAAGGTGCGGAATCCCCTCTCGGAGGAGCTATCTGACAGACACAAGCTCAAGGGTCCAAGTCTGCCCCAAGCCACTTCCAATACCACCAGACACACACCCTCCCCACTCTGATTTGCCGAGTAGACAGAGAATCAGGGAACAACTTTTAATTTTTTCTTTGGTCTCTTTTCCAGAAAGAAAAAGGATGAACGAGGAAGAGGACTGGCAGTTGGTCATTCTTCGTGAGCGGGCCATGACAGTCACACAGGGCCAGGTACAGGCCTAGAAAGATCCATGGAGGGAGGGACAACAGGAGTTGGGGGGGTTATCCACTGACTCCAACCAACTACCAAAGCCACCTCTCAGAATGAGAGAATGAGCTAGAAGAGAGGCCTCAAATACCACCTTTTCCTCCCCAGAGTTCTCCAACACATAAACTCTCAGTGCTAATCCCAGTCGAGGTTCCACTGCTGATGCAATGCTGAAAGTGCCCCAAAATTTCCTTTCTGGATTAAGTCATACCTCTCCTCCCAACATCCCAAACAGGCAAGGGGGTAACCACAGCAGAAAAGTGAGTTGCTTTTCTTTTTTGTGAATGAACAGGAAGGAAGATACACACACACACACACACACACACACACACATATTTGCGGGAAAGAACATTCACTAGAGTTGAAGTTAAGCCACATTCTCTTACATTCGCATGAAGAGAGAAAGAAAGGGGGAAAAAAGGGGGGGAAATACTGGAATGGGGGAAAGGAAAAAAAAAAAACACAGAGAGAGAAAGGTTTGGTAGCCCTCTCATTACAAGTTGGTTGGGCATAATGTAAACACACTTCTGCCTTGCTTAATCACAGAGTGCCGCCCGTTTAGGTTTCAAAGGCGGCAGTAAATTGGGCGTAGCTGAGTGGAGGCTAAAAATTAACCAGCCATCTCTGTTTCAATTTGTAAGAAAACAAAAGCGGAAAGAAATTATAAAAAGGGAAAGGGTAGGGGGGAAAAAAAAAAGGAACAGAGAAGGAGAACTGAACCACACAACCCAAAATGCAGGGTGAAATTGGAAAAGCAAAGAGGAGAGCTGGAACTACTTGGAACACAAAAGGAAAAGGAGATTTTACAGAGTTTTGATTGCTTGTTTGTTTCTTTAAGACCTTCCACAGCAATGCCCACTCCCTGGCATGCCTATGCTGGGGAGAGTCTCTCTGCCCCCCAGCAGAGGTATGGGGGCTGCGGGCATCCATCCGGGGGTCTCGCCACTTCAGCTGAAAAGCAAAGGGGAAGGGACAGTGAAGGGCAAGAGCGCGAGGAATCTCGTGCTCATTTTCACTCTCTGTGAAATTGAATGACTTTTCTCCTCTCCGTCAGCCAAATCCCAGGCGAAACAGCTCCCGCCTGGGCATCTGGGCCTCAGAAGCTGCCCGCCTCTGCCTTCTTTCCTCTTTTCTATTCATTCTGTCTCATATCCGGGGGTTTTACACGCCCCTCTCTCCACCGAACTGCTGCCCACCCTGCTTGTGCCAAATCTGGCGTTTCCCCAGGACTTGAGGGGACGCTGCAGGAAAACCAGTACCTGCCCCCCAATACTTCTTCTGACTCATTTTAAATGAGAGCAAGGAGGGATTTTTTTTTTTTTTTTTTTTGGTGGTAGTGGTGTTCATCACAAACTCTCACCATCCTGGATAATTCTGGGGCATCCTGGCCCCAGTCCTAGGACCTGCAGCGTCTTTTGGGTAAGATGAGTCCTCCAAAGACGGAGGGGCACGACAATCAGTAACACACGGCAAATGAGCAAAGGAGGAAGAATGGAGAGAGTGGAGGGAAACAGAAGGGAAAAGGGAACATCAAACGTGCTTCAGGCCTCAGCAGGACGGACGCACCAGTTAGGCCCATCGCGTCTATGCATGTATCGTTTGGAAAGAAGAATCAACAGAACAAATGCCAGCCAGTAAAATAAAATGGGGTGGGCAAAAGGGGGATTGAGAGCAACCTACCCGGAGTGTGGACAAAGTAAGCCAGATAAAGATCCAGTTCTTTGATTGTGACTCCAATGTGATGTGGCTGCACGCACAGGCCGGGGTTCGAGCACTGGGGCGACTTGTAGAGCCGCTCCCCGTCAGTACTTTCCAGGGGGATCCCCTTAAACAAAATCACCATGACCAGGTCCAGCCGCCACACCTTGTCGGCCTGGCGAAGGCAGTCAATCCGCCGGATCTTGCCCTTCTGGTCGGGGTTGGAGAGCACACAGCAGGGGGGCTTCTTGCCCGTGATGGTCAGCACAAAGTCCTCTCGGAACTCGGGCCGGATGTCTTTGCGCAGCTTGGCCAGCAGCCGGGATGCCCACTTCTGCTTGATCTCGGGCTTCTCGCCCAGCAGCTCGTCCTTCACCGCCCGCTCCTCGTCCTTCGACATCCGCTTCTCGTGCTTCTTGAAGTACTTGCGCTTCCGCGCCTGCAGGTTGAACCAGGTGTAGGAGAAGGCGCGGACGTGAGGCAGCAGCGCCTCGATGAACGGGTGGAACTCATCCTGCAGGCGGCAAGCCGGGAGCATGCGGGGCGAGGGAAGACAGGAGGAGGGGAAGACGGGGTGAGGGGGAAAGAGAAAAGGAGAAAAGAAGCGTTAGAAGGGGGGCACAAGAAAAATCGCCTTCTCCTCCGCCCCCCGCACAATTTTCTCTTGCGATTGTTCTAGGAAAGTGTGGTCTGGAGCTGCCACCAGCCTAGCCAGCCGCTTGCTCCCATCTCAGCCTCAGCAGCCAGACAGAGACACCCAGAGCCTGAGCACACACCTATTCTCTCTCTCTCTCTCTCTCTCTCTCTCTCTCACACACACGCGCGCACAGACAACGTTGCCGTCCACACACACACGCTGCTGGTATCCCCGCCAGGCTCTGTCGCGCCCATGACATCTCCATGTTCTATCGCAGCCTCGAACTCGTCTCAGCTCGCCCCAGCACAGTGTCCAGTCTGCACAAATGCCCGTGGACGCACACGCAGGGCATGCAGGGGCCACCTCACGCCCGGACACCGGTAGGTTTTTGGCCACCCCCAAGAAGAGAGAATATGACATCCAAGAGCCAGCGAGCGAGGAAACGGCTTTGGCTTCCCCCTCCCCAGGCTGTTTTCATTCTCTTTTCTCCTGCTCCGATTGGAACATCCACCCCAGCATTTTAAAAATCAGATCTAAACCCTAAATATGTGATTTCAGCTTTGTTATCAACACCAGTACTAATGTTAATCTCAGTAATAAGGAAAAAAACGCTCCTTGTTAACACAAATAAGGTGGTGGTATCAATCAACCACATTAGGGTTAAAAGCTACATGGGGCATCCTGCGCCCCATCCCCACTGACCCCTTCACCCTCCTTCCCACTCAGTCAGGTGACAGAGGGCCGGGCTCTCGGTTTTTGTTTTTTTTTCTTTCTTCTTCTTTTTTTTTTTTTTTTTTTTTTGCTTGTTTGCTTGTTTGAAGTTTAAATAATAATTGATTTCTGTTTACAAAAATAAAACTGGAAAAAATTAAATAATTACCATTGATCTGAAGCACCCGGCAAAGCCCAACGCCCGATTCTGAGCTTCTGGACTCAACAGAGTTGTGAGTTGGGGGCGGGTGGGGGGAGGGGGGAGGGGGAGGAGCAGGGGAGGAAGGTAAATGTTTTAAAGGGGGTTATTATTGGTGTTCTGGGGAATAGGGGCCGGGCTTGGGTGGATTCTCAAACCCTTCCCCCTCCTCCCCCCCACCCATGCTCCACTGCACAGAAGGGGGAAATTAATATTTTTTTTAAAGGAGCAAAAAGAAAGAAAGGTCAGGGATAGCAAGCAGAGAGAGGGAGCGAGTTGGTTACCACACACGCCAGGTAAACAAAAGCCAACAAAAAAAATTTTTTTCAGTTTCACCCCCTGTGCATCACCTTCCAGTTAAAAATAAATAAATAAATAAAATAAAAATATGCAAAATTTAAAAGTCAAAACCTACCTCCCACCCGCCCCCCCAACACACAACACGCCCTACCCCACCCCTGTGCAAAACAAAAACAAAAACAAAAACCAGGAGGGGGAAAAGCGGCAGCTGAAGAAAAAGGCTTTCGGCTTTGGCAGCGGCACAGGGGTATAAACTTCGAGCTGCCTCCCTCCGCCTCTGAGCCTGATCGCAGGCAAAGGGGGAGCTCGCAGATTCCCGGGGAAGAGGACGAGTTCGGACCGGCTGCAGATCGTCGCTGGCAGAAGCGTGCAAAAGAGGGAGGGAGCAAGGGAGGGAGGGAGGGAAGGAGAGAGAGAGAGAGAGAGGGAGAGAGAGAGAGAGGACGTGGATGGGATGGGGCTGTGTGTGTGTGTGTTGTGTGTGTGTGTTTGTGTGTGTATGTATGTGCGCTGGTTGGGTTTTGGATTTTTTTTTTTTTTTTTTGCTTCTTTTCTCTCTCTCAAACTCCCTCTCTCTCTCCCCTTTCATGCTCAATCCCCATCCATTTGCTTGTGCCAAAGCCAATAAAAAAAAAGGGGGGGAGGAAGGGGGGAGGGAGAGAGAGAAGGATCCACCTATTTGGCAATGAGACATCCTCGAGCAGCCAATGGCTGCGTCCAAGGGGAGGAGGGAACCGGGCAAGCCGAGAGGGTGGGGAGAGCCCCCGGCAGTTGGAGACCAAAAACAATTTGCCCAATCGACAAGTTCACGTCTAATGAACAAGCAAAGTCCAGCAGTTATGAATTTTTCATTCCAGGCTCCCACTCGGGTCCATTTGGCAGCGGCCACCCAGCAAATCTGAAGGGGGTGAGGGGGACTGGGGCTGAGGAAGACACAGAATTTTTTTTTTAAGCCAGAAAAATAAATAAATAAAGGCCTGACTCCGGGCAGGCTGTCGGGCGGGAGGGAGCCCCAGAAGGCCTTGGGGAAAGCAGCTGCGCCTTCTTCTCTGTGTTTTGGTTTCAGTCTCTTTCTCTAAGGCCCGCACACTCTTTTTCTGGTTCTATTTCTTTTTTTGTTTATGGGACGCACAGGGGCGAGTGGAAGTTTTCCTCCCTGGCCATACACACAAGCCTGCCTGCCGTGCTATGAATAGAAAGAGAAGAAGAAAGAGAGCTCGGAAAGTGTCGATGCCAGCAGCACTTCCAGGGCAGGGACCTGGCGCCCAGGGTGTAGCCACCCTTTCCCCCGGTCTGGCTGCTGCTCACAGGAGCACTCCCAGACAGACGAAGGAGGCAGGCCCCCCCAGCACCTCACAGCCTCCCTCTCCCCAGCCCCCAGCGAGCTCAGTGCCTCCCTCGGCGGCGGCCCACACCCAGCCACGCACGCTCCATTAGCAGTGAAGAGGGATGCCAACGCAATGCAGCTCTGCTCGAGAAACTGCAACAGTTTATTAAAATAGCCTCCTGTCACAGCACTCCACTGACAAGCACTACACGCAGCCACAAACACAACAGCCAACCCCGGGAGGAAGTGACAAAGGCACGGAGACGGACACTACTTCCAAACACAGGGTCCTGCCTGTGCACGACCGCCGCCACCGCCACCACCACCACCACCTCCTCCTGAACTCTTGATTCTTTGCTTTCTCCAGCTCTGCCCTCTCCACTTGGTCTGTGTTTAGTGTTTCTTGGTTGGAGGAGAGGGAACACTCACCTACCTGTGCCCCGTTCAATTCAGACTAAAGGGCCCAAACCATATGGAGGAAGGTGCAAGAGCGTGAAATAAGAACCCTAAAAGGAAAGGAAGAGAGCTAATAAAGGAAACAAGAAAGCAGGAAAGAGCTCTATCAGGAAACGTGAGACAACCTTGGGGAAACCGAGTCACCAGGAAGAGCTCCCCAGGGGAACCCCTGCTCTGGACCTTCCACCCAGACAGGAAAGGTGAACATGGGGGGAGAGAAGCCAGGAGTGTGGAAGCCTCCACCGGGTCCTCTCCGGTAGGGGCCCTTGAGCAGCCATGCTTTAGGCCTTTGAGAAGCAGTAAGGAGGGGACAGTTATTAAAGAAATGGAAGAGCAGAGGAGGACATGAACACAGACAGGGAGAGACTGATCCTACTCAGAACCCAGTCCCTACAGCTGCCCTCTCCCCAGGTGAGGCTCAGCCCTCAGATGGCAACAGAAAGGTCACTGCTCACTCTCGCCCCTTTCTTCCCCATCTGAAACCCTGTGCTCGGTGGCCTTTACGCTCAGCGGAAAGGTTCGAGGAAGAGGGCCCGGGGTGTGCCCAAACAAAACATGCAGCCCTGGGCTGGCGCTGGACCCAGACAACAGGAACAGTGCCTCTCAGCACCTGGGACCCCAGTCCAGGCCCTGACTGGCCTGACTGGCCGAGAGAAACAGTTAGAGGCGAGAGAGCAAGAGGCAGGTGTCACTGCCAGACAGGCCTCTTAGGGTGGTGTTCAATAATTAACATCACGTTAATAACCAGCTTGGGTCCAATTAGTCAAGGATATTAGCTGAGTAACATAAGGTACCAAACCCTGTCTCTCTCCACCTTGAGAGAAGCAATGTTACTTTCTAAAGATGAGACGAAACAAGCAAAAAAATATAATAAAGATGAGATGGTAGAAACTAGAAGTGAGTTTATATTTGGCATGGGGGTGTGTTTTTCTGGTATTTTGATTCATACTAAATATTAGACACCAAACAGAAAACAGCCAGCGTGAGCCTCCTAGAGAATTCTAACATGTTCCATCTCACAGACCACCATGCCGGGTGCTAAACATGGGTCGATTCTGAATCCGGTGGTGCAACTGGGTAGGTGGCAAGGGAGATGGTGGATGCAAGGATCCACTTGTAAGTTAGGGAAACAGGACAAGATCCATGATTCACTCCTGGATGAAGGGAGAGGTCAAAGGTCGATGGAGTGGTGGAGAGACTGCACATAAAAGTGGCCCAGGAGGACCAATGGAGTGTCTCCATGGAGCCGCAGGGACCCACTGCACCCCCTCAATTCTCCCTTAACAGGAAGAGCAACAGGCACTTCCCAGGGGAGGAACAGGGAAGGAGAACAATCATCAATTGTCCTTCACCTGCCAGTGGCCTGTAACCTTGAAGGTGGGCTGAGAGGATTCCCAGGCAGCACTCTCCCCTCACCCTGCTCCCACAGAGGCATCTGGCTCTCCGCGGGAAGGCCTTCCTGGGTGAGAAGCCAGGGTATTTCTAATGACTGGGTGTCTCTCCCTCCTGTGGGGCACACAGAGAAGAATCGCTCAGGTTCCAATAGAAACACTTGGCGAACCCGACCCCTACAGCCCCCTCCTCCTGAATGCCACTGATGGCGGCTTTCGGTCCTGGACACGCCCCTCAGAAACCCCAGACAAAAGGGGACTGTCCCCCTTTTGTTAAGAGAGTAGAGGCTCCTGTTGGAAGATTACCTGTCCCAGTCTCGGTCTTGGCTAGGAACTCAGATACTCTGCACCCTGCACCCCGATCAGAGCCAAGGCAAAAAAAAAAAAACCTCTGAGGATTCAAGGCTTCTCCAGGGCTGAGCCACCTGAAAATGTAAGGGCTCAGGGGATGGAGGGAGCAAGGGGACAGGCAAGCCTTGGAGGAGAAGGAGAG